CGGACTCGAACAGGGTAGGAGAGTGGGCAAAGAAGTGGCAGATGGAATACAATGTGTGAAAGTGTGAGGTTATGCTTGACTAGGAAGAATAGAGGTGTAGACTATTTTCTAATGGGGAAATGCTTTGAAAATCTAAAGGGACTTAAGAGTTCAGGATTCTCTCAAGGTTAACATGCAGGTTCAGCTGGCAGTTAGGATGGCAAATGCAATATTAGCGTTCATTTCAAGAGGGCTAGAATACAAGATCAGGGTTCTACTGCTGAGGATCTAAAAGGTCATTTTCAGAATGTTGTGAGCAGTTTTGGATGCCATATCTATGGAAGGATGTGGTGGCCTTGAAGGATGTCCAGAGGAAGTTTACAAAAATGATCCTAGGGATGAAGTGCTTGTCATATTGAGGAGCAGTTGAGAACTCTGGGTCTGCACTTAATAAAGATTAGGAAGATTATGGAGGGTGGGGTTGGGGGTGTGGAGTTTAGAATTAATTGAAGAGGAATTTCTTCAGCCAGAGGGTGGTGAATCTGTGGAACTCATTGCCACAGAAGGCTGTGGAAGCAAAGTCATTTAGTGTATTTAAGACAGGGGTAGATCAGTTATTGATTAGTCAGGGGATCAAAGGTTACAGATAGAAGGCAGGAGAATGCGGTTCAGAAACATATCAGCCATGATCAAATAGGAAAAGACTCTGTGGGCTGTATGGCCTAATTCTGCTCCAATGTCTTATAGTCTTATGGTCAAGCCTGTTCAGAATATATTATAAACTCCAATCAAGTTTCCCCTCACTCATCTAGACTCCAATGGAAATAAGCCTAGCCTGTCCAACCATTCCTCAGAGAACAACTCATTCACTCCAGGTATCAATCTAGGAAACATTCTCTGAACTTCCTTGAAAACTTTGACAACTTTCCACAAACAAGGAGATGAAATGTGCACGCAGCATTCAAATATTGTCTCACCAACACCTCATGTAACTGAAGCATAACATTCATATTTTTAGAGTCAGTACATCTTGTAACAAATCATAGCATTCCATTTACTTTATTTAATCTTACTTTAATAATATTCTTAATGAAAGAAATGGTGTATATAATAAATAAACAAATATTTTACTTCTGTCTTCACTACAAAGGACACAAAATATATCCCAGAATTAGCTGTAAATCAGGAGTTTGAAGGAAGAGAGAAACTTGGTAAAATTATCATCAGTAGGAAAGTTGCACTGAGCAAACTGATGGAGACTAATCAACCCACAGCTCCATGTCCTGATGGATATCGTCCTGGAGTCTGAAAAGAACTTCCTATGCATTGATGTTAACTTTCCCAAATTTGTTAGATTCTGGAAAAGTTCCATGAGACTGGAAAGTAGCAAATAGAAGCTTCTATTCTAGAAGGGAGGGAGGCAGAAAACAGGAAACTATGTTAGATCTGTTAAAAATATAACCAATTTGACACAGTGGCAGTGCCACACAACATAATCCCCAATGTGAAGATGAGACTTTGTCTCTACAAGGACAATTATTCACTCAAACTCTGAAGGCAAAGAGAGAATATGAGATAGCCTTGGCAAATAAGGATAAGGATAATCCAAAGAGATTCTACGAGTATATTAAGAGCAAAAGAGCAATGAGAGAGAAAGCAGGGCCCCTTAGAAATCTTTGTGTTGAACTTCAGGAGATGGGAGAGATATTAAATGAATATTTTGCCTCAGTTTTTACTATGGAGAAAGAAATTAAGGCTAGAGATGTTTTGGACACAGTTCACATTACAGAGGAGGAAGCGCTGGAGATTTTATCCCAGGACTTTGTAGGAGGTTAGGAAGGAAGTTGCCAGGCCCCTCACAGAAATACCTTAAATATGGGTGAGGTACCGAATGACTGGAGAGTGACAAATATTGTGCCCTTGTTGTTGAAGGAATGTAAGGAGAATCCCAGGAACTATAGACATGTGAGCTTGACTTTGGTGGGCGTAAGTTGTTGGAAGGGACTCTGAAAGATCGGATTTAGATTCACTTGGAGAGGTAAAGAATGATTAGGGGTAATCAGCATGGTTTTGTGCGAGGGAAATCATGTTTCACAAAATTGATTTTTTGAGGAAATAATCAGAAAGAATGACGAGGGCAGAGCAGTAGACATTGTTTACTTAGGCTTTAATAAAGCCTTTAACAATGGTTTGCACTGTAAAGTTAGATCACATGGGATTCAAGGTGAGCTTTTCCAACTGGCTTACCAAGAAAAGACAGGCAGTGACGGTGGAGGGTTGTTTTTCGGACTGGAGACCTGTGACCAGCTGTTCTGCAGGAATCGCTGCTAAATCCACTTTTGTTTGTCATTTATATAAATGATTTAGATGAGAAAATAGACAGCTTGGTTAGTAAGTTTGCGGATGACACTAAGATTGGTAGGAGAGTAGACAGTGAAGAAGGTTATCTGAGATTACAAAGAGATCTGGATCAATTGGCTCAATGGACTGAAGAGCGGTAAATGGGGTCTAATTTTGATAAATGCAACATATTACACTTTGGTAAAACAAACAAAGAGAAGATTTATGCAATTAAAAGTAGGGCCTTGGGCAGTGTTGTAGAACAGAGAGACCAAGCTGTTCAGGGACATAATTTTTTGAAGTTTGCATCACATATAGATAAGGTGGTTAGCATGCTTGCCTTTATTGCTCAGACCTTTGAATATAGGAGTTGGGATGTTATTTTGAGGTTGTACAGAACGTTGGTGAGGGCTCTTCTGTATTACCGTGTCCAGCTCTGGTCACCCTGTTATAAAAAGGATCTTACTAAGCTGGAGAGGGTTCAGAAGAGATTTACCAGGATGTTGCTGGGAATGGAGGGTTTGAGATATAAGGAGAGGTTGGATAGGCTATGACTGTTTTCACTGGAGCGTAGGAGGTAGAGAGATGATCTTATAAGTGTTTATAAAATAATGATGAGGATATAGATAAAGTGAATGACAGGTGTATTTTCCCTATGGTGGGGGATTTCAAGACTATTGGACATATTTTTAAAGTGAGAGGAGAGAGCTTTAAAAAAGACATGAGAGGCAATTTTTTTATAGTGAGTGGTTTGTCTGTGGAATGAACTTCCATAGAAAGTGGCGGATGTGGCTACAGTTACAACATTTAAAATACGTTTACATAAGTACATGAATAAGAAAGGTTTGGAGAGATCCGGACCAGGCACAGGCAGGTGGGACTAGTTTAGTTTGGGATTATTGTTGTCATAGACTGGTTTGACCAAAGGGTCTGTTTCTATGCTGTATGACTCTATGAATCTATGACTATCCTGAGACAGAACCTTCCAAACACACAACCACTTCCATCTTCCATCAGAAGGCCAAGGGCAGCAGATACATGAGAACGCCACCACCCTGCAAGTTCTCTTTTAAGTCACTCAGCATCCTGTCTTGGAAATGTATCATCATTCCTTCACTGTCGCTGAGTCAAATCATGGAATTTCCTCACAAAGAGTATTGTGGGTCACCTTACAGCACATGGACTGCAGGGGTTCAAGAAGGTAATTCACAACCACCACCATCTTTTCAAGGGCTACTTGGGGCAGAGATTAAATGCTGGCCAGCCAGCGATGCCCACATCCTATGAATGAATAAAATAAACGTGTGTAGCGCTGAGACTGTTATTAATTGATTGCAAATATGTCATTCACCTTTAACGCTGCATTTGTGAGATATTAGTTTTGTCCTGTTGGGGCAGCACGGTGGCTCAATGGTTAGTACTGCTGCCTCACAGCACCAGGGGCCCGGGTTCAATTCTCTGGCAACTGTCTGTGTGGAGTTTGCACATTCTCCCCGTGTCTGCGTGGGTTTCCTCCCACAGTCCAAAGATGTGCAGGCTAGGTGGATTAGCCATGCTAAATTGCCCAAAGTGTTCAGGATGTGTAACTTAGGTGGGTTAAAGGGGGATGGGTCTGGGTAGGATGCTCCAAAGGTCAGTGTGGACTTGTTGGGCCGAAGGGCCTGTTTCCACATTGTAGGGATTCTATGATGAAGGTGCGGCTTCATTTCAATTCATATTTCAAACAATCCAGAAATAATCCAGGTGGCACAGTCGCTCAGTGGTTAGCCATGCTGCCCCATAGTGCCAGGGACCAGGTTCAATTCCACCCTGAGGGGGACTGTCTGTGGAATTTGTACATTCTCTCCGTGTCCGCGTAGGTTTCCTCCAGGGGCTCCAATTTCCTCCCACAGTCCAAACATGAGCAGGTTAGGTGAAATGCTATGCTAAATTGCCCGTGGTGTCCAGGGATTTTCAGGCTAGGTGGAATAGCCATGGGAAATGCAGGGTGGTATGCTCTTCATAAAATCAGTATGGACTCGATGGGCCAAATGGCTTGCTTCCCCACTGTTGAGATTCTAATCATTTATTGATAGTATTCTGCTGTTTATTGTCTCAGTCTTGTGTCCTAAAGTGATATGTAATCCCACTTGATTTGCAATAACATGTCAGGACACTGACCACATCGCATGTTGCTCCTGGTTTGTGAAAATCTAAGCTTTGGTTTATATGACTCTGTGACAGATATCAAGCTGCAATCTTCAATTACAGGTGACACTGGATTGGATTGTGTGGAACAATAAGTCACGGACAAACAATGGTGATGGAACAGGCAGCTCTGGGTTGTTCTTTCCAAATGGGAATGCTATATGACTGCCAGTCTGACTGTCTGATCCCAGGTAACACATTCCAACTAACTGTCGAAGAATTGACGTTAATCTCTGTAAAATCATGTGATCCACTCCATGTGATTTTCCATTAAACTCTGTTCAAGCTGTGCAATCTGTTCCATATAATTTTCAATTAATGCCTATAAGATCTATGTGATCCTCATTCTTTTATTCTCCACTTTATCCTGTCATTGTTGAATACAGGAACAGGAAAATCACAAATATACCACATAGAACCTGTATTATCTGCTCTGCACTGTATATATTCTTCTTCTTTCTCATTCACCATCTTCCTGTCAGTATTAATGAACTTTAACGTGTTCTTTCTGTAGGGATCATTTTGTGGGCTATAGAGAAATTGAAACCTCATATCCAATCTTAGCATGACGCAAAATTTCACATCATTACATCTGACTCCACTGATACAAAAGCCTCTACACTGAATGTGGATGGATCATTGAAAGAAAGTTTCTTGGGTGATTTGGTGGAGGTGACAGGATCAGCGAAATATCTCAATGACACAAAGAGATCGAGGCAACAGGCCCGAGTGATCCTTCAGTACCATACAACTACCAAGTTTGAGCAACTGACAATGAGCCGTTTGGGGTGACAGAATATAACCCACCCAAATGTGTCTGATGAGGGGACAGCAGCTCCCGTGGTGAGTTATAGCAGTGCTGTATGGGGCTCAGGTTTTCTTTGTGTTTGATCAAGAGGTCTCTTCAGGGGAGAATCTACAGGATATTTAGGGTCACCTGGAGGGGATGGTTAAAAGATTCCTGAGATTGCAGTTGGGGGGCAGATTTCACTAAAAATAACAGAGGAACAGCAATCCAATGTCCAGATATTCAGCTATACCTTCTATGGGGATGTTTTTCTGGAAAACAATCCCACCACATTCCAAGATGCTATCAAAATCTACACAACCCCCCCAAAGTTACTGGGAGTGGATGGAGAGCATGCAGTGCTCATGAGAGTCTGGCTCTACTCACTCAACAAACTGGACTCTAAAGCTGCTCAGCTGGTACAGGACATAAGTATTGGATTGGTCAGTCATTGAGCTGCTCCAGCACAGACTGGCAATGAGACGGTGATGAGATGTAATGATATAATGAGAGACGGTCTCACTGTTCATTTTCCAGAGATCAGGAACAGGATACTGAAATTCCAAGAAATGTGTCTGAAGTTCAGGCTGGTTTTCCAGAAGGCTTTATCCAGAGTATTACCATCTATTCATCGAGGTGAGGAAGAGGAAGGGTCACTGGTGAATATTCTGAAGAACAAGGAACAGTCACCATTCAAACACCACTCACTGATCAAATGGCTAGATGACAAGCAGCTGGAAATAAATGTGCTGAGATCTTATCTCACGATAATGAAAGATATACACATTGTGAAATCAAAGTGTGAGTTGGATCAAGAAGCGTTGGATCGAGAAACAGAGAATGTGGCCTGCTTTACAATTACCTCACTGCATCAAGGGGATTTCTATCTGTCAGAAGCAGACAGCTACCTACAATCACATACAGCTGAGAAAATGCAGATACCAGATCCTGCTAAGCAGGTTAGTGCAGAATATCACAACCAGCAGTGGTTTCACTCAAAGTCTGTATCCCAGAAGTTGGAGGAGACTGACTTACTCCTGGATTTTGCCACAGCAAACAGAGCACAGGGGAAAACAAAGTTCATTGTTGCGTCAATGCAGGATGACAGTAATGTGGGAGCATCAATTTACCTGTATGAGGGAGGGGTTGTAGTGAATGACTGCCTCGCACCTCCATCACAGCCGGAGAGACCCGTGGTCAGTGGAACACATGAGTGTGACACTCCAATTACAGCACTGAGATGCGGTGCTAGTGAGATTGTTGGGTACAGGGTGGAATACCGAAATACCCAACAGGAGGAATGGAAAACTGTGGATACACCCTATAAATCCAAATCCTTCACAATCCCTGGGTTACAGCCACACCAGGAATATCAATTCCAATACAGAGCAGTGACCAAGGTAGGGGTCAGCATGGCCAGTGAGAGTTCCAGTGTCACCACACGTCCCACAAGTCCACCTGGTAAACCCTTCATACTCCAGGTTGACTGGTGTGATGTAACACTCACCTGGGACAGGCCGACTGAGATTGGAGCCGGTGTTAATATTGTTCAGTACAGGATAGAATATAGAGAAGGAAAAGTAATTCCCTCCAACACAGAGAATGGATTGTGGGAGGAAATAAAGACAAGAGACAGTAAATGTCATGATACTTTAGAGGGACTGAAACCCAAGACATCCTACAGAGTGTGAGTGTCTGCTGACTGTGGAGAAGGAGGTTCCAGGGAAACAAGTGAGAAGGTTTTAATAGAAACAGAAAATCAACCCAAGAGACTGGCTGTGAAACTTTGTAAAGAAAGTACATTAACAACCAGGGGGAACCCTTCCATTTACATACTGTGCTTACGGAAGAAGATACTTACAAGGCTGGACACAATGTAAAATTATCCTTTGGAAAACCCTCTGGAAAACACAGTGTAAGGACAATCATGGTTCTTGAAGCAACAGGAGCAGGAAAAACAACCCTCATCAATGGAATGATCAACTACATCCTGGGTGTGGAATGGGAGGACAATTTCAGATACAAATTAATCAATGAAGGGACAGGAAGATCCCAGGCTGAATGGCAGTGATTGATGTCTGACTATGAACTGCAGCAGGATTCCAGATTGATTACTCTTTCACTATCATTGACACTCCAGGGTTTGGAGACACCAGGGGTATAACCCGAGATAAATTGCTCACTGATCAGATCCGAGAGTTCTTCACTTCCCCAGATGGTGTTGATCAGATCAATGCTGTGTGTTTTGTTGCTCAAGGCTCTATGGTTCATCTGACCCATATGCAGAAATATGTCTTTGATTCAGTTCTTTCCATTTTTGGCAAAGATATTGCAGAGAACATCAGAATCCTGGTAACATTTGCAGATGGGCAGGTTCCCCCTGTTCTGGAGGCCATCAATGTTGCTGAGGTACCGTGTCCCAAAGATAAAAAAAGGTTTTCCAGTTCACTTCAAGTTCAACAATTCAGCCATATTTGCTCAAAGGCCGGCTCCTGATAACTCTGTCAACAAGAGGGGCCCCAACGATAGCTTTGATGTAGTCTCCTGGAAGATGGAATCAAACAGTATGAGGAAATTCTTTGTAGCTCTGAACAAAATAGAAATAAAGAGCTTACGTTTGATAAAGGAGTTCCTGATGAAGCATAGGCAACTGGAGACTGAAGAACAGGGATTGCAGTCTCAGATCAAAGTGACAAACAGAGAGAAGACAGAACAGGCATTGAACCAACAAAAAGTCAATGTTGACTATGAAGTTGAAGACATAGTTCCAAAGAAGAAAGACATCAGTAAGACCGGTAATTACATGAACAACTGTCAGTTCGCCTGTATCAATCCCACTGCGTAGAATGAATTCTTATAATCTTTCATCACTATTTTCAAAATAGAGAGCAGCTATTCCCCTGGTTGCTGAACAAATTCCTGTCTTGTCCCTTCATAATTACCATAGTTTAGAGTCAACCACTTTGCCTTGGGTCTGGAGTCACAGGTAGACCCGACCGGGTATTAACAGGAAACATTCTTCCCTAAAGAACAGTAGTGAACCAAATCGTCTCACTGTAATCAACAAACCATTTCCTAATTATGCCATCATTTATAAAAGACTAAATTCAACCAATTTATATGTCAATTTATGAACTTCTATCGTGTCATATATCATTTCCAACTTGAGATTCATTTAAAAAATATTCTTGAAATCTTCAACTTTTATAGGACATGATCTTATTACCTCGTCTCTTGTCTCACCGTTGTTCTTAATCACTCTTTCCTTAATCTTGGAGTCTGGCAATTTATTCAAAATTGCATACAGTTTTGTAATTTTCAAGATTTCAGTTTCTTCCCTTCAATATCACTGTATTCTGTTATCCATAGTAATTTAAGCATAAAATCTGAAATTAACTTAACTTTATGCTCCTTAATTCAGCTTGACACTGTTCAGATTCCCATTGCAGATTACACAATAACAAAAATAACATCATGAATTGACTTAAAATTCTCCAGCACTTTTGTTATCTGTATCTACCTGTGCATATGTCATATGAAGCATTCTTTCGGCCAGGTCCTTAAATGTTCAAATCCAATTTTCCTCTTCTGTAAGTTTGGTTTTCCTCACTAAAAGAGAAGTGTTTAAATTTATCCTGTTTGATTTAAAGTCAGTTTCTCTATGGTGTAAGTGTCAATCATAGAAGCATACAGTACAGAAGAGGTCCATCAAGTCTGCACTGACAAAAAAAAGACTCAGTATACATTAGTCCCACTGTCCTGCACTAGGCTCATAGCCTTGAATGTTGTGACATTTCAAGTGCTCATCCAAGTATTTTTTAAAAGTTGTGACATTTCCTGCCTTAACTATCCTCCCGTGTGGTGCATTCCAGATCCCACACCCACTTGGTGAATAATAATTTCAAATCCATTCTAAGCCTTATGCCTTTGACCTTAAAATTATGCCCCCTGATAATGACCCTTCAACTAAAGGGAACAGCTGCTTCTGATCCACCCTATCCATACCTCTGTCTTAAAAACTTCAATCAGGTTCCTCTCAGCCTTCTCTGCTCCAAAGAAAACAACCCAAGCTTATCCAGCCTCTCTTTGTAGCTAAACAGCTCCATCCCAGATAACACCCTGGTGAATCTCCTTTGCATCACCGCCAACGTAATCACATCCTTCCTATAATACAATGACCAGAATTGCATACACTGTTCCAGCTGTGGTCTAATCAAAATACTGTTTAGCTCCAATAATAATCTCTCAGCTCTTGTGGTCTATGCCATGACTGATAAAGGCAAGTGTCCCATAGGGGTTCTTCACTTCCCTGTTAAACTATTCTTCCACCTTTAGGGATCTATAGACAAGCAACACAAGACCGCTTTGTCCTCTGAGTTTCCTAGTGTTTGCTATCTGTTGAGTATTCCCTTGTCTTGATCATTTTCATGTGACCCTCTTCTGACCACATTAACCATTTTATGCTATTTGTCGTCACCCATTCTTCAGTGCAATATATTCCAGTCTTTGATCCAATCTTCACTGAACTGGTTTCTAGCATATTACTGCACATTTATTAGGGGACCTCAGCATCACGCAATATATCCTTAACTTTCATCTGATCTTATCAAAAGATCCAGATCTGTTTGCCTATCTAGCTCTCTATCTATACTGCCAATGCCTCAGGAGTAGGCCACACTGTCAGACACAGTCTCAAAAATGGACAGACAAGGACACAAACATCACAAGTTGAAAGTAATTAATTTCCTAGTCTCATCTAAGCTTTTCTTTCTTAAAATGCACATTAAGATCAGATCGACTTTCTGACATCAAGATAAGTCACTTGAATTCCCATTTGCTGGCATGTTTTCCTGTCTCTATCATTAAGGCTTAATTATTTCTTTTCATTAAAGTTTATATATCCCACTTGTACCATCCTATCTCATTCAGGAAATCTGGAGAGATATTACAGTCCAGCAAAATATTCTCATAATAGATTCAAAACAGAGATCAGGTAATGGCATATTTTATGTGTTCTTTATCATAGATGGCATTTTATTTTTTTCAAATGTAATTTGCTAAATTATACTTCTTTCACATCTCACAATTATCCCGGATTCAAAAAACAGTGTTGTTGTTTGTCAGGTTTCCTTTAATATTTAATTTATTTATCTTTAAAGGAACTCATTAACATTTTTATACATGTATATAAATCAGTGAGACAATGGATGTATTTTTATTATTTTCCTGGAGCCCATTTACAATTTCAGGTCCCTATACTTCTTATAGAATGTCAATGCATATGTCAATGCTCCCAATGAAATTCTAAACAATCATTATCTTATAAAGTATCAATTCACACCAATATACATTTAATATGAGCCAAGCATAAGATGCAGAATTATAAGTTCATCCACATGTTAAAATAACATTTGGAAGTTCACACTGGCCAGAAAATGAAGTTTCAATTTTGGCAACTCAGCCTTGATTATCTTGAAATTAAGCTTTTGTTTAAAACTTGTATTTAAGCTAAACATTTAAAAAACTGTGCTATGCATTTAAGAAAAAGTGAAAATAAATCAAATCATTTGTCTTGATTCATCTTTCTTTAATTGGCTTTCATATTGACAATTAAAAACTGAAGAGTTGAATTCTCATGAGAAAACCTTTAATATTTTGACTCCAAACATAAGTTTCAGAACACTACAATCTCACTATCCTTTCATTGATTTGCATCATGGCAATTCTCTTCCTTTATGGGCAAGAGTTGCAATAGCACAATGAGATCCCATAAGTAATCATTTAACACAGATCGATAGCTTTACATATCATTAAACTAATATTTTATAAATAACACAAACTCAATATTCACAGCCCCACTTTCACTTCTGAATGGACCCTGAAAATATGAATTCCTATCATAAGTTATAAACTCAAAATGACAATTTTATCCACCAATCACAAATTTCGGAGAGATGAAAAACATGTTCATGTTGAAACTGGTTTAATATATCAACCATAATACAAATATACATTTAACAAGGAAAAACTTTACAGCAACTTACAAAAACAGACCACAGAAGGTTAACACGTCATTCAGTGATTTGCAGACACTCAAGAAAATCATATTCAGATACCAAATGCTGGCAAATGGGACTAGATTTATTTAGGATATCTGGTCGGCATGGATAAGTTGGAATGAAGGGTCTGTTTCCATGCTGTACATCTCTATGACTCTATGACTCTCTATCAAAGCTTTATGCCCCTCTAAAACAACAAAGCAAGTTCCTCATAGTCGTACACAAGCTTCTCTATTTTTTATTCTACATAAGATCTTAAATTTGCTGTTTGCACTCTAAATTGCTTACATACTTGCTGCTAAACATTTTCTTTTGATCACAAATATTATCCTCTATAATTCAGTCATACTTAAGTTGGCTGGGAATGACAAGTTTGAAATGTTTTCATTTGTCGTCAGGCATTCATGCAGCCACATTCACTAAGGGGGCCTTGCCTCCTCTCATCTCAACAGTTACTAATACATGCTGTCTGCCCAATTTCCCTTTTAACTCCAGAGCTGAGTTTATACAGAGAATTATCTGCCTTGCTGTAAGGTTGTTTAACATCAGAAAACTCCTTTGTCAGCCTGTCATTTTTTTTTTCTCTTCTTTCTGAGAGCTCCTTCCTTGGCTGATGTACGGTACCTCAACCAAAGTAGCTTTTGCATGCAGACTAGATGCGATCTCCTGTTTATTATGGTAGGTGACTATTCAGCTCCTAATTCTAAATGATGATTTATTTTCCTTAAAATATCTGTCTGCACATTTTTCTGCTGAAGTTGTTCTTTGAGTTCTCAATCTCTTCCTGCTTTTCATTAAAAATCTCATTGTCTTTCTGAGCATTGTAGTGTGCTCCATCAGTTGTGAAATTTTGTTTTCAATTTTCCCTCCAAATAGAGCTCTTTGTTATTTAAGACTTTAACCATTCCGGCAACAGGAGACAGTCTCATGAAAGAATGCATTAAACTTTACTTAAGTTACTAAATAACAGTTAACAAAGCAGGTCAGTAACTTTACAGGTGCATTCAAGTTCACCTTAGAGCATGAGTCTATACTGAGCCTTTGGCTTCCCTTCAGTACCGCTGGAACCTTCTGACTGGACAGCCATCTCTGTAAATTTCAGTTTTAAACTTGGTGGAAACCTTACTCACTGAAAGCCGTTGCTTATTAACACTTGCCAAGCCACAACCCATTGGATGATCAATAACATTATTATGTCTGATTGGCCACGGTGAGGCTAGGCACATTTCCAATCTGTTGCAATATTCCAATATGTGTGGCTAATCCATTATTGGCCCTTGAGGGTGACTGTCATCAAATGATGTCACTTACCACTATCCCTGACTGAAACCTTAAAATATAGAATACTGACAGGGCCATCATTCCCATTACAGCTGGTCTCTGTTCCTGTAAGACTCCACACAAACACCTAATAATGACTGATTTTAGAGGTTACTTGTTTTTTTTTTTACTCCCTGTGATTGTGAGTATTTGGAATGAGTTATTTTAGTTTAAAGCAAAGGGCAATGTGGAAAAGGTGCTTGGAACCTTAAGTCTCAATAAAACTATTACAAATGATTACAAATTATTAATGGAAAAAGTTACAAAGCAGCTAGTAATTAATACATACGCAGAATCTGCATGAACTATAAAAGCAGGATAAAGTAAGATTTTTCTCATTCATTCATGTAGGTTTGCAAGCAGAGGCAGCATTTGTCGCCTATTCTTAGTTCCTCTTGAGAAGGTGGTGGTGAGCTGCTTTCTTGAACCACTGCTGTCTATTTGTTGTAGGTGCACCCATAATCCTGCTAAGGAGGGACTTCTAGGATTTTGACCCAGCTACACGGAAGGAGTAGTGATTCATTTCCAAGTCAGTATGATGAATGGCTTGCAGGTGGTGGTGTTCCCATGTGTCTGCTGCCCTTGTTGTTCAAGATGGTGGTGGTCTTGAGCTGTCCTCGAAGACTTGGTGATTACATACAGTGCATCTTGTAGATGGTACTAATGTGGACCAACGATTATAGAAAACAATGTGAAAAACATTGGGCAGAGAGACACTAAGGAGTTTTGAAAAGAAGATTGAGTTCATTAGCTGAAGTCACAGACCACAGTTGGCACAGGCACAGAGTGTATGATGAAAGGAAAACAAACCAGTGTGATTCTAATTTTTTACAATCCTGTTTAAATCACTGGCCTAATAGTGTTAATTATTAATAAGTCTCTGAAATGATTTAATTTAAAATCTTTATTAGTTTCAGCACAGCCAGAGACAGGTCTCACTCTTCACCATCAGGACGCCATGGATATTGAGGTGAAACTAAAGACGACTGAATCCAACAGAGCAAAGCCTGTTCAGAGACAATCACAACAAAGTGCAGGATCACTTGACACACTGGAAGAAAATGAAACCACTAATGAACAAATCCAAAGAGAAGAATCAATTCCTACTAACAATGATTCTAATGTAAATACTGGAAAATCTAATGCAGGAAACAATACTCCAGAATTCTTGACAGAATTAGGGTTACAAAGCAAGAAGCTGTTTCTGAGTGACATCCTCAACCTAAATACAGAAACACTTCAAAATAAATCACCGAATTCCCCTCAGGATATTCCAGGATATTTTCTCCGGAATTTAATGATTGTCAATTCACAGGCAAGAAGCTCAAAATACGAACCAACAAAGATACAAAATCATTCAGAATCGGATAACTTGGATTTTCTGTTTCTGGATGAAAACTGTGAAGGTTTATACCATCCCCTGGATATCTTTAAGTCTATTTTCCTGTGTACTGACACATTCCTGCAGCAGGAGCTGATAGTAAAAATGTCCCTGTGCCAGTTTGCATTGCCACTATTACTGCCCGCTGGTAACAATCTTCCTACTGTGGGCCCTGCGCTCCATTGTGAAGAAGTGGTGCCCACTCTCACTCCGACATTGTGCAGGCTTTAAGGAAACAAACATGGTGACTGCCAACATTCCCACCTTTTCCTTCATTCAACTCGGTTCCTGCACCATTTCCAAATCTATGATTCTAAATGAAGTCCTCAGCTCCTCCCAGCAACATCACAACTTCTTCATCCAGTACAATATGGATGGTGGTGATTTCTTTTGCAGGATTTCTGATGATCTTGTCAAGTTGTGCTGATACCTGCCCAGTGGGAGTGAGGAATTGGATCTTTTCATGGAGCCAATGGTGGTATTAAACCTTCGAGGTGATGCTAAAGAGTTCCACACCCATGTTCAGTTTCTGACAAACATCTCTTCAGCAGTTTTTATTTGGATTGATAATATCGACAGTGGTTTAAGCAAGATTCTGAAGTCCCTCGCACAGTCTCCAGCGAGTACATACATAGTGCTCACTGGGAGCAGTGTGAGCAATCAGACTAAAGAACACTTGAAGACATTTGTTACATCTGCAGTGTTTAAACAGAAACAAATATTATCACAAGGGAAAAGGAACAATGCAGAATTTACTGAGACACTGCGACTCATATTGAAAAAGGCCTTGGAAATAACCCATCAACAGGCAAGTAGTCAGGGCCCCAGGAGCCTGGAGAAACTGGCATTAACTGCAAGGGACATGGGGATTGTAATAGATGAGGATGACAAGCTGTGTTCGCAGGGTAAAGCAAGATCTGGAAACTTTAAAACTGTATTAAAGGAGAAGCCATTAGCCAATACAAATCAGAAAACATGTCTTTTCAGGGTTTCTCTTGGCAAGACATTTCCAAAATAGAAAAAGAACAATGTTGCCAAAGCAGGGAAAGGCGAGTTCAACACAAAATATTGTAATGACCTTGAAGAAAAGAAGAGGAAACTTCAAAAGCAACAGCGAGCGAAAGGTATATCAGCTGATGTGAAAATATTCATTACAGACCTGACAGACAGGGATGAGAGGAAATATTTCCTGCAGTGGATGAAATTTGGGTTGGATTCTAGATCAAGAGACACTCTCTTTGGTTTACATAAAAAATACAAAGCTCTGTATGAGAAATCCCAGGGACAGTCAACAAAGCAGAAAGACTCTACAACCAAAAAACAGTTACAAGAATTAGACCAACAGATAACTGCCAGCTCCCTTGGACATGAACATTTCATGCGAGAAATCAGACTAATCTATGAAACATTGATAAAGGAGAACAAAGGTAATGAGGAAGAGAACATTGTACAAATGTTACCCCAAACTGCTGCTGACCTGATGTTGGATGGATTCCCTCTGGAGCTCATCAATGGAGATGTTTCCAACATCCCTTTACAGTGGATCACTGATGTACTGAAGGCAGTTGAAGACAGGCTTGGCAGAGAGACCAGTGTGTTTGTGCTGATGGTGCTAGGAGTACAGAGCACAGGCAAGTCCACACTTCTCAACACCATGTTTGGTTTGCAGTTTGCTGTGGGCAGTGGGCGATGTACCCGTAGGGCCTTCATGCAGCTCATTAAGATCACAGGAAATCTGCAGTTGGAGCTGGGCTGTGGGTACATCATGGTGATCGACACTGGGGGGCTGAAAGCACCAGGGCTGTCAGAAATCAACGGCAGCTATGAACATGACAATGAGTTCGCCAGCCTGGTAATCGGGTTAAGTGATGTAACATTGATAAATATGGCCATGGAAAACTCTACTGAGATGCAGGATGTGCTGCTGATAGTGGTCCATGCAGTTATATGAATGAGAGAAGTGGGGAAAAGGCCGGTTTGTTACTTTGTTCACCAGAATGTGAGTGATGTGGCTGCTCATGATCAGAATATCAGAGGCTGCAAACATCTGCTGGAACAGCTGGATGTGATGACACAAGCAGCGGCTAAAATGGAAAAATGAGATTGAGAGTTCAGCAAGTTCTCGGATGTGTTGGAGTACGATGCAATGGAGAATAACTGGAATATCCCAGGCCTGTGGCACGAGAATCCACCCATGGCAGTTGTCAATAGTGGCTATAGCCACAAGGTATTTGAGCTGAAGAAAAGGATTTTTCAGAATCTGAAAGAGAAGAGAAATAAAGGGAGACTGTGGACCATCTCTGAGTTTATCGACTGGACTAAATCCCTGTGGAAAGCGGTGAAATATGAGAATTTCATCTTCAGTTTCCAGAACAGTTTGTTACAAGGAAACTTCTGTCATGTACACCGAGCTGGAGTGGGAACTGAGGAAAGAGATACATTTCTTCCTGGAAAGAGCACAGAACAGAATTTTTAATACAAAACAGGATCCAGAAAATGTAGTTCAATGTTTGAAAAGAGAACGGGTAGAATTTCTCAATGTACAGAAAGAAAAAGCTCTTCTACAGTTGAAGAAATATTATTCTACTGGCAAAAACTCAAACCTTGCTGAAAAATACAGGAAGGATTTTGTCCAGAGCATTGAATCTCTGATCATTGAACATGGGATGTACATGGACAGGAAGTGTGATGAGGCAGTGCAGAGGAGGAGAGCTCTGCAGAAGCTGAATGATATTAAGGATAAGCATCAGAGTCAGATTGAAGAACAGGTCAATGAACTCCTACAGAAGTGCAGACAAGAAAATGAGGAAATGAATGAAACACAACTGGAGAAAGCTTTTGGGAAAATGTGGCAGAAGACAATTTCAACATTTAATTATTCGCCACCGTCAAATATAATGAAAGACATGAAAATGAGCCAGAACTTGCCCACAAGCACAAAACTCAAGAAGAGATTTAATGAGAAAACTGTGTTTGCGCTGGGGGATGAAAAGCTCCAAGTCACTTACAATCATATTGAGCCAATTGAATATTATTGCAACTTTATTTCTGAACAACGTTACTCACGATTAAATAAAAATGACATTCAAAGAGCCCAGCAGCTGTGTGATCAGTGGGCGAGGGAGTGCAAACAGTTTGTGAATCAGACAGTGAACCAGGAGCAGGATTATGATTCTAATCATTGCAGAGAACTCCTGAGAGTCATAGAGGAGAAAATCCAGCAACGCCATGACCAGAGATTTACTTTTACTTAACATTTCGAGGTAGATTTTAAACTTTGTATCTGTATATTTGCAGTTAGAAAATATGGAAATCTGCCAGAAAACTTTCAAAAGAAAAACGATCCTGTGGAACAATTAGAAAAGGAGAAAGCAGCTTATTGCCAAAGCTTTAAGGATATCTATCAGGA